CCAACAGACGAGTCGTCCCGCCCACTAACGCCCTCTATGGCTGTTGCAGGTGCGCTTGGTGCTCGAATCGGACGGAACCCAAGTGGAGGACGCCGAATACTTCCGAACCCTGCCACCCAACAGTGTTCTGCTGCTGTTGCGGCCAGGCGAGCGGTGGCTACCGGCCGGAGTCGACGTCATTCGAGCAGGTAAAACTCCGCCCCCACCACTACCCCCACTCCCACTCTTAAGTCTCCGCTCTGTTCCAGTAGTCTCCGCCATTCCGCGCATCGTGTGCGAAACAATCAACGCTCTGGAGCTGCAGGATGAAACTCCTTCGTGGAAAATCATGGACAACAAGGTAGATTGGCAGCTTTTCGCAGGGGGATTTAATGGGGCCACGCCCCCTTTTCCATAGGGGCGTGTCACGGTGGTTCTGCACTGGGACCAGCGCCCGGGCAGGGGGCCGACCGAAGTCCCGTCGCCTGCCAAGTTCTCGCCCAGTAAGCGGCCATTGGCGGGGCCGGGCGTGCAGGCCCCGCCCCCATCCAAAACCCCGCCCTCTTCGCAAGACGGGTTCACGCCCCCACGTCGCGCCAGCCCTCAGATCACTGTGATAAACCACGACGAGGTCAGCAGGCACGCTCCCTTCTAATTGACAGTTTAGACAGTTGGCGTTTGCAGGTTCGGCCGGCAGGGGCGCGGCGCACCAGCTCGTTGGAGGCGCCGGTGCATGTGCACACGCCCGAGTGCGCGCACCACGCCCATCTGCCGCGCGCCGGCAGTCCGCAGAATGGCAACGTCGAGTGCGACTTTCATTGTTGCGCGCTGCATGAAGAGGGCAGGCGCATCGCGGTGCACAAGTCGGTGGCAACGTCGCCGATTCAGGATGTGGGCGCGCAAGCGCAAGCGTCTCCTCAGCCCAGACACGTCCGTTTTTTAGGTAGGACGATTTCCTCGCTCTTAACCCCACTTTTCTCTTGAGTTTAGTCAAAAATGAGGTGTACTCTGAAATGAATGAGGTAAAATGTGTGGAATTTGGCGTGGAAAAATAAAATCGGCCTGTAAACTTAAGAGTTACGGCAATGTTTGGCAACGTCGCATTGGAGGTTTTTATGACATTTGACGTTTTCATCGAATTTAAGTGTCAAAAAGCCCCTAAAAGACGATTCACTTCAAAAATGAGGTATACTCTGAAATGAATGA